TTCCGTAGCCACCCCATGGCCCGTGTTGCCTTAGAGTACACATCATCAATGTGACTTCTCCAATTTAATGTGTCATTATATATGATGCCCAAATATTTAAGGGAATTCGCCTGCGGAATGAGCTCATTACTGTACATTAACGAGATGTTGATAGGCTGCAGAAAAGAGAATGCAAGGAGCACACTTTTCTTTACGTTCAGGGTCATATGAATATTTTTAAGCCATCTTTCTATCATATTGAGATAATTTTGTAGACTCTGGTATAATGATTGAAGGTCGGTATTACTTGCGAAGAAAGCAATATCGTCCACGTACACATATAACTGAATATCCTTAGTTGATGGAATGGAGCTTAAGAAAATGTTAAATAAAACTGGCGACAGGACAGCCCCCTGTGGTACGCCATGTGTCTGCTTATATCTATTCGATGAGTACCCATCTTTAAAGCAGTAATATTCTCTCCCTCTTAAAAACTCCGACACCCACGCAGTGATGTAGTTGGGAAAGTGGTGATATTCCATCTGTTTTAATAAAATTGAATGCTCAACCCTATCGTACGCTTTAGCCAAATCTAAAGTAACTAAAGCACAGTATTGGCGCCGACGCCGAGCCAGTTGTATTCGGCTCTCTAAATCAACATGCGCACACCATATTGAGCAACCGGATCTAAAACCAATTTGACTGGGGTTTAATATTGCGTTATTATTATTATATTTCATTACCCGGGCATTCAAAACTCTTTCTATTAGCTTAACCAGATTTGACGTGATTGATATCGGCCTTACATTGTCCAAGGCGAATCCTTTTTCCTGTTTTTTAAAAAGTGGAATCACTTCAGACAGCTTCCATTCCGCAGGTATCCAAGCTTTTGTCAAAGAAAAATTCACCAGATTAAGTACTTCAGTTGAACAAATCTCGAATATTACTTTTATCATTGAATTTGTTACCCCGTCTGGTCCAGGTGCCGAAGGAGATAAGTGCCTTATTATCTCTGCCAGCTCATCTAAAGTATTCTCCTCGAAATCTTCGCCTGCCAATGGGTTCACAGTGTGCAGTGGTATAGTTGACATAAATCTATCTTGGAGCCCTTTCGCAATATTTTCTACTAAATCAGAGAGCTCACGGGGGGAAAGAACAGAAGAGCCAATATTTTCAGCGGGTGGTAACATCTTTTGAGATCTTAAAAATCTGAAGAGCGCTTTTTTGTTTTTAGCCCTAGAAAGATACTCATGTTGTTTCATATTATAATCATCGTTTGCTGTACTTACTCTGCGTTTGAAGTCTGCTGCTGCGAATTTATAATCACACCAATTTTTTGGACATTGGTTGACGAGCAGTTGTTTCCATGCAGCTTTCCGTTTTCTATAGCTCTTCGTGCACTCTTCAGTCCACCATGGACTAAAAGAACCTCTTGTGGCCGAGTCTAATTTAAACGTTGCGTCTTTTACTGATCGTTTTAACACTGCACACAGACTCATAGCCCTAATGTCACCTTGTATGTCCCTGCGGTGATCAAAAGTAGCCCTCAAGTCTTTTTCTAATTTTTTATAGTGGAGGAATGAGCGGGCCTTTTCGGTGACATGTATTCTTGGAAAGTTCAGTACAAAACTAATAGGCAAGTGGTCACTGTTAGTAGCACAGTATAAAGTTTGCCACGAACATATATTTCGAGATGAGCTTGAAAATGTCAAGTCAATTACAGATTTAGAGAGACCTCGGACAAAAGTAGCAGATTGCGAATTTAAACAAGATAAATTCTTGTCAATAGCCCATTCCCACAATCGTTTTCCGCTTAAATCTGTTTTAAAACCCCAGGACACATGATTTGAATTGAAGTCTCCAGTGATTAATATATCCTTTCTGCAGGCAGAGAACATATTGTCTAGACTTCGTGTGTCTTGCACCCCGGCTGGGAAATACGCATTTACAAACGACAAGGGAGAAGCGTCTGGTAATATTATGTCTACTATCAAAATTTCACAATCTGGAGTCACACAACGATAAGAGATTGTAGCTTTGTGACTAAACTTAGTTGCTATCAAGACAGCAAGCCCACCACCTCTGCTAGGTCAGTCCAATTGAAATAGCCGATCATTTTTTATGTAAATCTTCTGGCTGGTTGAAAGCCAGGTTTCTTGCAGTGATATAATATCCGGGGAAAGTTGTGAAGAAAGGTATGATAGGTCTGTGGCTGCGGAAAATATAGATCGGCAATTCCACTGTAATATGGTTAGTGAACCTATTTTGACGACAGAACCGTCGCAGAAACTGCTTGGTCCAAAATGTCCTTTCGCAAAAAGTCTTTCTTAGACATGTTCTCAAAGAATTCTTTTTTGGATAGATACTTTTTAGATTTCGAATTATGCGAAGAGTTTTTTGATTGGGGAGATCGGGTTCTCTTCAGAGCCTTACGAGAGTCCATATCCATATCTGCACATGCTTCCGAATCATCCGTAAGATCAACGTCTTCCGTTGTTTTGGAAGTCCCTGCCTCAGGAGAAACCGCTCGCTGACGTGTTGTCGCACTTTCTATTTCCGTACGCTGCGATACCAATGATGTCTGAGGAGCCCAATCGTTCGTAGATGCTACACCTAGAATTTGAGATAGTTGATTGGAAACCAATTGTGCCAAGCTTTCAAAAAGGTTGTTTGCGAGGCATTCCATTGCCTTTTCCATAGCCTTCTCTACGGCCTCTGCGATAGATGTTGCGAGAGATGCATCCATGGCGGTGGTATTACGTGCTGCAACACTGGCATATCCTTTGGATCTCTCCTGCATTTCTGCAACGGCTTCTCTCCGAGAGCACCTCTTGCGTTCTACAATATTCAATATGGCAAGCTCCTTTTCTTTTGCTGTACAGTCTGCGGAGTCTGCAGGGTGCGCCCCATTACATAAGCAGCACCTCTCTTTCTCAGAGCTGCACTCGCGGCTGTCATGATTTTCACCACACAGACGGCATCTAAGAACTGATCGGCACCCTCTGACGCTATGTCCATATCGTCAACATTTCAAACACTGCAGGGGTTTAGGGGAAAGTGGCTCTACCTTATTAATCAGTGGCCATGCCTTAATTTCGGAAGGTCGGACTGTTCCTAAAAAGGTCACTATCACCGATTCCGTTGGTGATTTTATGTTGTCAATTGTACGGGTGCACCTGTACACTGAAATTACACCCGCCACCGAAAACAAATCGAGCACATCTGCAGGTGTCAGGCTTGTGTCTACACCGCGGACTAATCCTTTCGAGCATGCGAGGTGTGCCGGAATAAATGGGCTTACCGGATGCGCTGCGAATTCGGAACATTGCAGGAGCTCACGAATGCATTCCTGATCTGCGGCACAGGATGCCTCCGCGACCAAACTGGCGGACCTCAGTGATTTCCTGGGGATGCGAAGTGGCTTTTCGAAGCTCCACTTGAATCGCCTTTGGGTTCTTCATCGGAATACTGCCCCCATCTGTAGGTACCAGCGCCACAGGGACACTTCTCGCTCCACTGCGTAACAAATAGTCTATCGGCCAATCCTTGGCGGGAGTGGAAGCTAACCAAGGGGAGTGCCCTTGGCCGGGGGAAGAAAATGACATCAAAATGGAATGACTCGCTTCAGCTGAGAAAGACCAATACAGTTACCGGAAAATAAAAAACTCTCAAACAACAATAAGGATACTGCCGCCCGATCCTGAGCCCGGTCAGCTTCTTCACAGTCGAGCCTCACAGACCCCGGAGACCAAGTTTGGGTGTGGACGCCCGTCCGCCGCCGTAGCCTTAGTGAAAAGTTACTGAGCCGATACTTTGGCCTATATAAAGTGTTAGGCCGCGTCAGTGACGTGAACTACGAAGTGGTTCCGAACTCAACACCGCAGGCACGAAGCAGGACACGACCGAGGCCGGACGTCGTTCATGTGTTGCGCATGAAACAATTTATTGCGTGTTGTTCGTAATTTTTTCTTTACCGTACACCGTTTTTTGTGTTATTTATTTTTGTGAGCTTGCTTCTTCGTTAATTGACTTTTCTTATATTGGCACGCTTTTTAATTTCTACTTTTACTTTGTCAGAATTTCCAATTTATTTTTTTCACGTGTCTAAGTTGTAGCATTGGGCTGGTGCTATGTACTTTTCTTTCCCCCTTTTGAGGCTTTTTTTTTAAGATGATAGTCTTTCTTGGGGACCTTCGGCGGAAAAATTTTGGTCTGTCTGTCTGTCTGTCTGTCTGTCTGTCTGTCTGTCTGTCTGTCGGTCTGTCCACCGTTAACGATACCTTAAACAGCACCAAACGGTCGACCACATGCGTAGCGCCCACCCATTATTCTCAAGGTTCAGCGTTCATAGTTGCGTGACTGTCAATTAAAAAGCAATTATTGCGCATATCTGAGGCACCATAACAGCACGTCGATGTTTTGTATGTGTGCCTTTATACTAGAAGAGGCACACACAAGTAACTATAAGGGCTGTAGCGGTTATCGCGCTGCACTGACAGTGCAACGCGATGCTCAAAAAGGCAAGCGACTTTGCTAAGACGACACGGTGGTGGCACCTGCCCGTCGCTTTGCGTTCTACACCATATCACCTCCAAGACAGGCGCGCATCTTTCTCCGCAAACGCATACGCCTTCGTTTTCGAAGATAACTGCCAGATAGCGCTCAGGTCAAACGTGCCTCGATGTGCTCGTTCGCCTACGCTACATGCTCTTGGCACTCTAACGCAGCGCCTCCAGAATACCATTCACCAATTTTCTTGCGCAGAACATCAAGTAAACGTTTTGTTCACTCTCGAGACGCAAGACTATCGTCTTTCGACGGCATTTGCAGTTAACAAGCAGATTCGGGGCCAATTTTTTTCACAGCAGAACCTTTTTATTACCAGAAAAAACACAAAAATAAGGGAAAAAAAGTAGAAAAGAAGCAAAAAAGTGAATGATGATGGTAGACAACATGATAAGGACGACAATGACACACTGATGAAGACACACAAAGGTTGACGCCAGTGCGTACTGCAAGGCCTAGCCGAAGTGCCGCTTGCCGAACTGCCGAGCGACCCGTGGGTGGTGCTTCTGACGTTGCACCGCCGCTCCTTTCTTTGCCCTGGACGACGAGCTCGAGGGCGCTGGAGGCGAGTAGTGCTTCAGCGCCGAGCGCAAGGTACGTGCCAGTACGTTTCGGGGTCCGCACATGCCCATGTAGTCGTCGGCCGCCACGTCCATGAGTGCCGCACCGCCCAGAGTCTTGTTCCGCAGAAAGGCCACCTTTGCCCTGACCGAGTCGGCATCGTCATAGGTGACCCACTCCTGTCCATGGTAGGCATACGGGCATGACGTAGCAGCATCAAACACTCGTGCCCAGCTGTTTCGATACACGTTGTAACAGATCTCAAAGTAAGCCAGCCGGCCTGGCGTCAGGGTGAACGGTCCAGCCTGACCACGGCCATCGCCGCCACGTAGAGGGGCACGCACGTCAGTGTCGGCCCTTGCGAGTGCATAGCTGTATCCAGAGGCGGTCACGGCTAGCAACAGCTTGTTGCTTGGAGCTCCCCGATCCAGCAACAGGACGACGAGTTCATGGATGCTGTTGATGGGTGAGTGATCACCGATCGGCGGCCGGTTGTAGAGTGGGCTGGACACCTCGGCATGGCCGGGCTCCACGAACCCAAACGAGCCCATGACCGCGTAGTGCACCGAACTCATGGCATTGCGCAGTTCGTATCCGCGGTCCACCCGGCTGTCCTCATGCGGAAGGTAGAGGGTCAGGTGCCACCGGCTGCTCTCAGCCTTGAAGGCGCTCCTGATCTGTGCGAGCAGCTTCGGAAAGTTCTCTCTGTCTGAAGGTCGGCCGTTGCCCTCTCCCGGATACATCCACTGGATGTGCATGCCATCTAGGCGGCGGGAGCGCAGCCAGCGGACGCTGCGTTGAGCTAGGTGTTCGCGACGTCCCTCGGTAATGAGCTCATCCGAGAATGACTTGGAGTCAACCTTCGGTCCACCGACACCGACGAGTACTCTGAGTGTCGGGTACAGCTGCTTGAGCTGCGTCATCTGCCGAATGTGGCGTTCGGCGTCCGCCATGGGTCCCGCCTGGGAGGAACTGCCTGACGAGCTGTTGTTCAGGTCGGACGGGCTCACGAAACCGTACACCAGATGCGAGCAGAATCTGGCGGGCAGATGCTTCAGGAGTTGATATCTCACGGGCTCCCTCTTCCGCTTGGTGTTTCGGTCGTAGAGGCACAGCAGTGGCGCCCCCTCGCTGGTCATTGGCCCACTCTGGCGTGAGAAGATGAGGCCGTGAGATCGCCTGGCTGCGTGCTCGTTGACCCGCTGCGCGGCGATGAGTGGCAAGCGGCTGTTGCCCGATGTCCGATAGGATGGTGTGAGGATGGCGAGCACCAACATAAAGGTGGCCATGGCGCCGACCACAAACACGGCACCGTACAGCACAACCGGGTTGGTCATCTGGCCGCTGATGCTATTCTTGGTCGGCACACCTTTGATGGACCCAACCCGGAAGAGCGGGTCCAGGTGTGTGCGACGCCATTCGGTCAGGGTGCGATACAAGCCGTCAACATTCATGGCTCTCTGTCGGTATGACCCGCTACACGTTGGTCACGGCGTCCTGCTGCTTGAAGTGCTGTGCTTATCAGCGAGCCGCTGCCGGTTACGTGCGATGGGTCGTCGTCGGGCTTCTTGTTAACGAAAGCACCAGCGACTCACCCAGTAGTTGCCGCAAGTGCTGCCGACGCAGTCTGCGTCAATCGTCTTCCGATCCTGGTTACGACGTCACCCCTAGCGAGGTCCCTAACACTGACGGGGGCGCCTTTCCCACGACGGCGGTGCGACCGTGAAGACCTTTGTCAGCGGGAATCGGTCCTGCTAGGATCGATCGAGACACGTCAGCGTTGGTCGACGAAGCGCGCGCTGTGACCGTCTTCGTCTTCTGATGCTGAAGAACGCGCTGAGCGTGCTGAGGAAGCCCGGCAGCTCGCGCGATTGCACATCGGCCAGCGACAGCAGCTCTAAGGTTCTGAAATGCTTGTTTGCAATGGGGAATAGGTAATTTAGATAATTTTAAAGATTTCGAGCATTTAAGGTATTGCTGGAATTAACAGTGGTGTGTATCTCGCTAGTTAGATGTCATTTATACCAGACTGAGCTGTAGAGTCCCACAACTAAATTATTACCTTAACAAAGCTCGACTCAAGGCATGACTGCTGTGCATTTTTTTTGCAACGAAGTTGAAAGAATTGAACTTTTTTTTATTCTGTCGTGTTACTCTTATCAGAGAAAAAAAATTTTGTAGCCCCATTACAAAAGCTACAAATACAATTAAATGTAGCAGTACTTTTATCACTTGGCGGCACTTCATTTGGTTACTGCCACAGGGTTATATGCGTCACTGTGTTTGCTTACATCAATGCAACTAAAATATTACCGTGCTAGTGAACCCTAACCTTTTCAGGCCTTTAGTTTATAATTATTAGCGATGTCTGTCAGGAACAAGAGATAGTTTGACCGCTTGCTCAGCAACCATTTTTTATTGGCAGTATTATCTCTAAACTAACTTTTTAGATTGGCTTTAATTTCATTTTAATTTCATTTAAGTATCCTGCCGCCCGATTCTTGGCCCATCCCCCTCTGTGGGTGAGTGCCATCCATCTTAGGTCATCAGCATCAGCAACAGCAGGGAGACGCATGACGCTTTTATAACACCCGCCACAGAGAAATGTTTTACTACCCCGGAGACCAAAATTGGGTCTGGACGCCCGTCCGCCGCCGTGGCCTTAATAAAAAGTTACTGAGCCGGTACTTTGGCCCATATAAAGTGTTACGTCGCGTCAGTGACGTGAACTACGAAGCGGTTCCGAACTGAACACCGCCGGCACGGAGCAGGACACGACCGAGGCCGGATGTCGTTCATGTGTTGTGCATGAAACCATTTATTGCGAGCTGTTCATAACTTTTTCTTTACCGTATACCGTTCTTTGTGTTACTTATTTTTGTGAACTTGCTACTTCGTTCATTGACTTTTCTCATATTGGCATGCTCTTTAATTTCTACTTTTACTTTATCCGAATTTTCAATTTCTTTTTTTTTTCACGTGCCTAAGTTGTAGCATCGAGGTGGTGCTATGTACGTTTCTTTCCCTCTTTTGAGACTTTTTTTTTCTTTGCTAAAGGGGGATAGTGCCACCCACACGTAGTGGGTCGACAGCAAGAGCACTCTCGATCTGGAGGAAAAAATAAGATCGCGTGCTTCTTCTCTGCTCGAGAGCCAGCCACGACTGACGCATCGTCCTAGAGCTAGCTACTCGGTGGTTTAATAAACCCCCCAGTACTTGTGATTCATCGTTACAATATACACGCGCGAACATACACAAAGGGAAGCTGAACCTCCCGACCAATAAAACATTTCTGGCTATACGTACGCCCCTGCGGCTTACTGGTTTCTAAGAGAACGTACGGCACAGAAAAGCGAACGAAAGCAGGACTTTGCACGTATATGATGATAATCAAGGCGAACTAGGGGAATAGGGATAACAAACGTTGAGCGTCGATATAAGGTACACCCCCACCATTAGGCTTTCCATTTAGAGTCGTCATAGACGAATGCATAGGCCACCCAAGAGAACTTTTTTTTTATAATTTCTTGCTTGCCCGAGCTCAAGAAACGATTATTTGACAACGTTCACTGCTGCAGTAAGGTGGGCTGCGCGAGCTTTAAATTAGGAAAGTTAAACAGTGGCTGGTGGTTATAAACGTAACCGTATAAAAGCGGCCAAATAGAGAGACAGAGAGAAGGCTAGCCATTGTCACCTGAAAAACAAATAAGAGAGGGGAGAAGTAAACATACTAAGAAACAAAAGATGAAGGAGACATGGAAATGAAAAGGGAAAAGAGGGCGCACCACAACACATGCAGAGTACGAGCATTGCAGATTATAGTCTATAGTCATTCACAAATATTCCAGCATAGCCTTATGGGTATACGAATCTAAAGCAGGAGCGCCTTACGGAGCAATAACAAACTTGCTTCAGAAAGCTGTTTACCCAAAAGTGAACAGAGAGAATTCAAAATATGCGTCCCGCGTAAGACTGTCGGTCGAAAACATCTCAAGCTTTATTTTGTCAACAGCTGCGTCACTGACACCTGAGTGAAGCTGTCCCACTATACAGTTGTATACTCCTCCTAAAGCTTGGCTCGCGAATAAAGTGCAGCGCGTTTCGGCAATGCGACAGTTTTTTTTTTTTTGCTGCAGCATATAGCGCATGCGCCCGCAGTATGCCGCACCGAGTGGGCCGGATCATCTTGCGTAAAATTAAAGGTCAAAATAAAAAACCGGCGTGACGTAAATCGCCTCCCGCGCGTAGTACATGAATCTTCGTTGGAGATGTCAAGGCGAAGCGTGCAGCCGGGCTCGTACTCAGCGAAATACTTTAATGAATAAGTGATGCTCCTTTTCTTTGCGTCCAGTAGGCATTCCTTTCAAACGGCCGAGTAAAGAAAAGTTCGATACAACGAGCTAATGCAGTGGTGGTGCTCCCACACCAGGGAAAGTCATAGAAAGAGCCCTGTGCATGGAAGCTTCTTCGTTATCAAGGGAGCTGGACTTGCTTGTATTTTGAGGGGTTCCTCCAGTCAAGGTCTGCCTCAGCTAGCAGCGGGAGAGACACAGCTTTCTAAGTTTCTTTTTTTTTCTGTATTCTAAATACACTCACGTCCATTGCACACGCTGCGTGGTCAAGTAACGTTGTGACACTCCACGCGTAACCGTTCCTAATACTGTGCTTTTTTTTTTCCCTTGCGTTTTATTCTTACGGGCCGTGAAACATCCGGCTTCCCTGCTTTTGTGCCTTTCGTAAGTTATGCGTAAGGTGTTGCGTGGTGGAACACTTTCGCAGCGCCCTGGCTTGGCGCCCCAGGAGCAAAGAGAAATGTCACTGCCTGCATAGAAAATGACGCGACGGCGGCTCCCGCACTTCTTTCGGTCTCCTGTTGTCCCTACATTTATTCGGCGTAGCAAGAGGGCGACCACCGTTGAGGCTACAGTGTGCGGCAGCGAGTGTTGCGGGAATGCGTTCACGGTGACTCGGGACTCGAGCCACAAGGTGGCAACTGCAATGATGATGGTGACGCGCTACGAGTGGTTAAGGGCTCGAAGGCCGATGGCAGTTACGGCGGGTTTCTTCACGGAAGCTGGCTCCCCGCCGTCTTCCGCAAAGCCGATCTTCGCCAGTGAGGGGACGCATTCGTAGAGAGGGAACGAAGGTTTATTCACATGATAGTTGAAAGATGGAACTGTACAGAGATTCGGCTTTGTACAATGAGCCACGAAGAGGGCCCGTCATCAGATATTAACAAGATTATTAGAGTACGGCCCGTTAACTAGTTATTATTAGAACATAAGCAATTGCTAAACGGAGGCTGAGCTTTTTAATCTTTCTTTCCATTGCCAAGAGTGTAAGTACACGGTGAAATTCGATTAATGTGCGATTCCGTACCGACTCGGAAATGAAGAAACGCGTCTAATGATTGAAGCATGGCATTTCGATAAGAGTTGTAGCGCATGCATGAGCCAACCATCGATTAACTTTTATAGAGAAGAGATCAGAAAGCTTGACATTTATCTTTCACGTAGACCCCAACGTGTGTAGAATTGACAAGTTCGCGAGTTACATGCGCATTCGCATACATGTTCTCGTTCTCTTATTTTTTTTTTCCTTTCCACAGTTGTGCGCCTTCTCAGTTACTAGTCGGCGTTTGAGGTGTCGCGACTTAGTTCTTGTGTCATTCAGAATGATTACTGACCAGCTAGCTCAGCCTTCTGTTATTCTAAGGGATTAAAACTGCTGTTGAAAAGAACAGATAAACTGCGAAGAGTCATCGCGGTGGGCGTCGCGCAGTGACCTTTAGCTGAGACTTCGAGAGATCTTGAGGGGCAGTCCGGTGTCAGGCCATAGGTAAGGTCACAGGCATAACTAAAACGAGCGACTAAAAATAGCAGGCAGTATTGGCTCATAAAGTGCGTCGCGCGGTACTGTCGCAAAAAAACGTCCCAAGGGACAAGGCCTGATATTGCCGCCATAGGGCAAGCACATGGCGGTAAGCGAGACCGCCTGCCTGACAACAGAGCTTTTCGAAGTAGGCATATAGTTTACTATATTATTATTACACACGACGGGGATGTGGTTGTTGAGAACGCTGTATCGCACGGATCGCAGATACGACCTGTCAACTGATGGACCACGAACGTCAGAGGCTATATTACTTCGGTGGCCTGAAGGAAAGAAAGTGGGACGGTACCTTATCTTTGCGAGTGCTGACCTTGTATATAGTTCACATTCATCACTCTAAGAAGTGAGCGAAAGACAGAGCTGCTGCTGCGTGTGGTCATATGAGTAATCACTTTGTATACCTTGTCGCATGGTCACTGGGAAGATTGTGGACCAACGTATAAGAGTGCCGAAGTTGAAAAACTAGATTGAAAAACAAACAAACAAACCGGCAGATCCTACGCATTGTGGGAGTCGATGTGATGCGAAGCAGCCAGCCAGGAGCAAATTATGCTGTACAGAA